GCGGAGAGGAGGAGCAGCAGAGCAGTAGTAGCACAAGGAGCAGCCGAGCGCGCGCGCATGACGCCACGGAGCAGTCGAAAGCGGCAAGGCGCACACGGGCGGCGCGGTCAAGGCGTGCAGGCGTGGGTGCGCACGCGCGGTGTAAGATAGGGCGTGACCGGGGGCTCGCAGGCACGGACAGTGGCCGCGGTGAGCGGAGCTCCGACCATGGCGGCCGAGCTCGCGGGGCGACTACACGACGATGAATTGAGGTAGGTAAAAGGGGGTAATCGGCGGAGGGTCGGGTGTAGTGGTGGTGTAGATCGACGGCGATGATGGCGACACAGTGGCGGCCGAGTCAGGGAAGACGGCGATGACGACGTGGCAGCCGCCTCCCAGCTCCGATCCGGTGGTGTGGTCGAAGAAGAAGAACCCTCCGGGGCTCCTGGACATCCTCCGGTGGCGCTGGGAGCACGGTGGCCACGGGATCGAGCATGGCCATGGCGATGGTGCTACGGATGTGTGCTCGGGGAAGAGAAGTGGCGCGATGGAGAAGAGAGGGAGAGGAGCTAGGGTTTTCCAGGTGAGAGAGGAGAGGAGCTAGGTGCAGCAGCAGCTCTGTCCCAGAGAGAGAGAGAGAGAGAGAGAGAGAGAGAGAAACCTTACAAGGGGGCCCCACCCAGGTCAAAACCACCATTGACCAGTGCCAAATCAGCAGCGGGTGGAGAAAAACCAGCCAGGGGGGTGTTTTGTCCGGTTTGGGTTTGTTTGGGGGGTAAAAGAAGCGGAAAAATAGATCAGGGGGTAAAGTGAACCACCCACTTTATTCAGGGTAGTAAAATGAACTTTTTTCAACTATCTAATTCCTGCTCTATGTATGAACTCCATAGGTTAGAGATTATTGTCTATCCACTGTGAATACAAAGCTGCATGTTTCTCCTTGATTTTGAATTGAACATTGTCATTTCTCTCCTTTCCATGGATAGAGGGTTGTAAAGCTCTAAAGACCGTGCCATTTCTCTGAAGCCAAATGTTCCAGCAGCCTAGAATTGTGATTTTCTTGCCAAAAGCTTTGGGCAGTTGTTCATTGGCAAACATAGTTTCTTCATAGACAGATTTACCTCTCCTTTCAATGGGGAGCAAGGAATTCCAGCAATCTTGAGCAAAATTGCAGCCCTAGAGCAGATGTGTAAGAGTTTCTTTAGCATTTTGGCTACAGGTGGGACAGTGTGGATCATCTAGGTGCATTCATTTTCTTTGCAACATGGATCCAGTGTTTACTATGCAGATGTCGATTTGGGGATATGCTTCGATTTGGCCAGACTTGGCGGGTGAAATATAGGTGTGCAATTCAAACTCGCCGTAATATGAGGCCTTCTATGCTTCAGAGGGACAGGAATATCATACGAATAGAAAAATCATAGGAAATGAGATGACATGTATCTCAACTTTTATAGGAATAAAGATTTCATTTGATGCATAGAATAGAATTTGTTTACTGAGTTTAGGCTAGTGTTATTTTTTCTCTGAAATGTACAGGATTGGTTTCTATCCTGCAAACCAAAAGGCTCCAAAGGAATTTTTGCTTTGAAAATCCTATCCTATAGAATTCCTATAAAATTCTTGCAAACCTAAGGAGACCTAAGATGGAACCGCAGAGGTATGCAAACGGAGACAATTTTAAGGAGTGATTTGGTGATTTGTGTAAAGATGGAGCCACTTATTTTCTAAGTTGGCGTGGAGTTCTGTACCATTGGATCTTGCACAGAGATTCATATGCAGATCTTGTGAATTTGCAGAAAAAAGAATAACCAGAAAACCACAATCTGTTTGTATACCAAATGCATAGATACATTATGTATTTTTAATTATAAGGGTTTTGTTTATTTGTTTTCATTGTATGATTGTAGGTTTTTAAGTTTTGTATCTCTTTTAGTTTATTAGGCATTCAAATTTGTATTATCACCACCAGTCTTCCCAAAATCTAACATTGTTTCCACTTCCCAAAATCTAACATTGGTTTCTTTGGTATTTTTTGCTAAGATTTCTTGCCAAAGGCCCTCAAAATTGTAGATTTTGCATTCTCAATTTTTGTGTGTGTAGATTTTACAGTACTATTTATAAAGTAAGGCCTCGTTCATGACAACAAGGTTTTGAATACCCAAACCTCCCAAGTCTTTTGGCCTACACACATCAGACCATTTGACAAGATGGGATTTCTTTTTCTTACCAGCTTCCTGCTGGAGTAATCTGGAGTAATTTGAATCTGAAGAAGTTCATCCTCTTATTTACCTCCACTGGCAACGCATAAAAAGCCAGTGCAGCGTTTCGGTGCCCAGACTCATCTGCACTCGGTCAGTAAAAAAATCAAAATAAATACTAGAAAAATTCAAAAAAAATCCATTATTTTGTGTGATAGATAATTTGATGCGTGAGGTTCGTTCCAATTTTTAGAGCATTTGGACATCTGAGTAGCTCTCAGCAAAAAAGACAAATCGGGTCAGAACAGTGCGTGAACAGTAAACATTTTTACAGACCCCGGATTTGTCTTTTTTGCAAAGAGTTTCAGATGTCCAAATGATTTGAAAACTGGAGCGGAGCTCACGCATCAAAATATCTATCACACAAAAAAATCGAATTTTTTGAAATTTTCTAATATTTGTTTTGATTTGTTTCGTCGGGGTGGGTGCAGCTGAGCCCGGGCTCAAAAATGGATTACCGCATCATAAAAGTTCAGTATACTAGTGAGAGAGGATTGTATCTGAGTAATCCTACTGCCACTAGGCAACACTCTACCCTCGTTATCCATCTCTTAGATCCAGTTCAAAAGCTCTGCCCAATCGGTCATGTCGTCGGCGAGCACCTCATCGGCGCCTCCCTGCATCTCCTGCTGCTGCTGCTGCACGGGGCGGTAAGCGTGGCTAGACGACGTATTGTCGTTAGCTGCATGCCTTTTCCTCTTCTGACCCCTTCCCACTTCAACGTCTTCATTCGGCCATGCAGGCGCGGCGGACGACGACGACGCGCGGCTGCCTCCGGCGAAGGTAGTGCATGGCCGGCGGTCGAACTGCCGCATGTTGCCTGAACTTGTGTATAGCCGGCACAAGCTGAACTCGCTCCGCACCTACGAACAAACACAA